CAAAAACATACCATTATACAATTGTCCTCAAATCATCTTAAATATTACAATCAACCTACCTTAAAATTTTAAATAGTAACAAAGTTCCTTTTGACTGTCCAGAAAAAAGATTTAAAAAAATTACCAAAAAAAAGAAAAAAAAAAGAAAAAAGATTTAAAAAGAATCATCTAAAGCAACTAATAATTTTAATTGAAACCTACTGATAACAAACTGGTGAATCAAGCTAATACAATTGATTAAACACAAATATCATTAAGCAAACTTAACTACAACAAAAGACAATAAATCCTAGCTAATGATAAATCAGATCCTGTTGAAGACAGCAGAGTTTTAGGACCCACCAATATGGCCCAGTTAGAACAACTAGAAGCAAACAAGAAAAAACAAGTCAGAGGATACTAACATCGTACCCAAGTTGAAAAAGAGTAATGAGGAAATTGCAGTATGCATACGGAAAGAAGTCTATCATGCAGAACATGGTAAACTACAGGTTTGAATGCAACTATCCAATAAAACTTTTGGAAAAACAAAAGGATGCAAATATCATTAATTGCTCTAACTGTTCTGCATTGCATGCTAAATAAAAAAACTCATATGGAGAACTTAAGAAAACAACAAAGACTGCGTAATCATTAAGAAAAGCTGGGAGCTTATGACTTGTAGATATCATTAACATATAATATAATGGGTAATTCAGCACCAAAGAAAATAAGTTACCTGTTACCATCCCCAGAAAACGTCTGAGATGATAGTTGCCATCAAAAGGAGAGATTGAATTACACAAATAAACCGAACCAATGAAGCTCTTTTGTATCAAATCAAAACAGAAAGGAATTCAACAGATAGACTAATTTAAACCCTCCAGAAAGAAATGATTAACAGGTTTAATCTTCCATTCTTGGCCCAAATTCTTCAATTTTAAGTGATCAAAATTGATTTCATGGTTAATTTATCATTTTCATAATCGAATTTCACATCATTTAAAGAAACACAAAACCCTAACATTTTCCCGTCCACCGACATGTAAAACCAGTAACTGGTATCAAACGGAAAAGAACAATAGTAGATATCTTGCAGAAGTATCAAATTCCCAAATACCTAAACCCTAATCGAAGCTTTTATTGGCATATACCCAAAAGAAATTAAAAACAGAATTCGGAAATCAACAACGAATGCTAACAAACCCGTATTGGTAGAACAAATAAATAAAAGATTTAACGCCACCCAAAGCACCGAGGGAGCGAGGGTTGAGCCTTGGAAGAGACGATCGGAGAGAGAGCCGGCTGTAACACCGCTGAACGGAGAGGGAGAAGGAGAGGGCTTGGAAGGACGAGGATTTCCTGACCGTTGGAGGGTTTTATAGTTTTATTGGGAAAGAAAAATTCTATGCCCCCTATGTTTTTTAATATTCACATTTACACTAAACTACCCTGTCATTTTAACTTGTTTTGATTGCATCCTTAACCATTTTTTCTTTCTCAAATCCATCCTTTTTCATCCGTCGCTGACATTTATAAAGGCAGTGTCGTTTTGATATAAGAGAAAGATGAAAAACTTTGGTGAGTATAATGTTACAAAATCACAAGCTTAGGCCTTCAAACATCCCAATTAGAAAAGAAAGCAAAAAGGTGGCTGCTTTTTTATTCAGATTCTGGTTCTTTAACATACTTTTACAACTAAAGTCAGCAGCAAATAAAGAAAAATGGTGGAAATTAGACTCTAACATTGAAATGAAATTGCTATAGGAACAATAGAGGAGTTAGTGAAAGTTCGTTTCTACCATACATAGGGGAATAGACAGCAGAATGGCACCTAGAGGGACCTACAGCATGGTAGAGGCTTTTTTTCATCCTCCAGAGACACCATTTCACCCTGAGATGTCTGCTTTGCAAGATTGGATTTAAAATTGAATCACCATTATGAGAAGGATGGATGCATGTTCAGCAAATGTAGCTGTAAATTCACTTACAATTCCTGCAAACTGCAAGTTGTATCAATGTATGATTAAAATCATCAAAACTTGTTTTTGAGTCAAGCTATTGTCTAAATGAGTACCTGAACTGTTACGATATCCGTAGAGAAACGCATGATTGGAGGTCATCTGCTTACCATGATGAACATTTTGCTATGTAAAATTGTAGAGTTTATTTAGACATCATCAGAGAGCATTTTCTTCAGTTTCTTCTTTAAAGCCTTGTCAAAATTCTGGCTTGACAATGATAGAACCTGGTTCAGCAGCAATCTCACCCCATGCTCCTGTACAATTGCATATCGTGGTTTAATCCTCCCCTCCAAGTTGTAGCCAAAATACTGAGGGAATTTAACCAGCTCTGATTTTGGATAATCCATGGTTAAAAAGAAATCCCACTTTGGTATCAAGTTCTTTGTCAAGCTAAAAGTGTATAATGGTCCGTATCTTGAAACCATAGTGGCCACTTCCTCAATAGTGTAACCTTTTTCCAAAAAGAATTCTGTCACAGGCTTAAGGTTGGCCTCAACACTAAGACCAAAAGTATGTGGACTTCGGTAGAGAAGAAGTCCAACATCAACCCCCAATGAACGGAAGTACTCAGCTGTAGGCCTTAGTTTATCCTCCACACTATAACTTATGATGTTCGGGCATCTAGTTAGAATCTTACTTACATTCTCTGATGGAACACCCATCTCATATAGGAAATCTACTGCTGCAGTAAGCTTCTGCCGGCTATAAGTGAGAAGTGCTGGAGTACGATATATAACTTTGGCCCATTGTTTCTTGTCCACACCCAATTCTTCTAAGAATGTCATGGTTGGGAGAATGTTATCAGAGAGACTGATTCCACACAGTTGAGGCCTTTTTCTGAGAATGGTGGGGATGTCAGATTTAGGTACACCAAGTTTGAGAAGGAACTGAACAACAGGCTTGATTTTTCCCTCCAAACTGTAATAGGCAAATGCTGGAAATTTGCGTATAATTACCTTGATCTTCTCAAGATCCATGCCAAGCTCCATGAGGTAGAGAATTTGAGGACGGAGTTCTCCAGTTGGGCTCGTTTCACTAACACGAGATACAGCTTTTACCTTTCTGGAGTCAAGGGCTGGATCTGGCAGAAACACCTCAGTTACTCCTTTTTCTTTGACAGGTGATTCTGGAAAATTTTCCACTATATCTACCAGAATGTTTCCATGCTCTTCAAGGAGAGATTCAAGGTAAGGAATAAGAGCATCCCTGATCTCAAGAGTAGTGAGCTCTCGTCCTGCAATCCAAGCAGAAATTGATAAGAGGGTGAGAGACAAGAAGTAAAAGTGACCAGCCATGTTAAATGCAAATTGAAATGGTAAAAGTGTAAAACATTGTGATCGAACCTACGAGATACCGAGATTTATGAACAGAATGAAGCCTTGAGACAAGATGGTCAATGAAAAGGTCTGATTTGTTGATGACTCTTGCAGCAACTGTATTGCTCAAGCCTTGCTTCTTCAAAAACAAGGTTAATACAGCCTTAGCTTCTTCTTTCTCTGCCGCCATGAGGTTGGGAGGCACCAATCTTAAAGTAAAAGATCCATCAATCTCAGAATCAGCTGTCATCATACAAAAGACACTGTTACTATTGTATAGAGAAAGGAATGTTCATGAAAACTGCACTGCATGGAGCTAGGCAAAGTGATTACCAAACTTTGCATGGCAAAAGAAGAGTTTCTGAGGAAAATGGGGTTGAGTCCTGCAAGAAAAATGACTTCAAAATCCCAATTAACATAACCAGCCATGGCAAATGAATTATGGGATTTAGATAATGCACAAATATACGCAAAAACATTCTCTATTAAACAATTGATACCCAATTTGGGAGTGTACACAATAAGGATTATTCAAACTCACTGCCAATTCTAACATCATACATGCGCTCTTCAATGGAAGAATAAAAAAATCAAATTCATTAAACAGAAGAGGGCATTCATCTAACCTCTAAACTGCCTCAACTCTCACCAAATGACAACAGATTGGAATGTATGAATGAACTAGATAGATGCTAATGAAAACCAAAATGAACTCTATTTCTATGTCTACCTAAGGAACACCATTCCACAGAATCACACAGAAAAGGGTGTAATTTATAAACTATTGTTTACAACCACAATACCCTCAAAAAAATGTAGCCCTAGGAATCCATACCCTAATCCCAACAGCTAAAGGTGGAAAATTTAGCTTTAAAATTTTCATTAGAAACGAAAAAGCAATCAACAACTGAAGTACCTTGTAATGGGGAAAGCCCCTACTGGGAAAGGTGAGATCTTTACTGATGATCGGACTGCATAAAAAGCTCTCATCTTTAGCTGGGAACAAGAAAAAAATTGAGAAAATCCCAGGAGAATGCCGCGAGTTTCAGGATATAGAGGAGAGAGAATCCAATTCCTGCCACAAATTAAGTAACGACGTCGTTCTACATTGCCCCTAATTTCTTTTTTATTTAATTGTAAAAAAAAAAAAAACCGAATTTTTTTATTTAGCAAAATACACAATGTGAAGGGTTTTGCAGAAACTAAAACCCTAGTCCCTGGACGTAAGGAGAAAACAGGGTGTGGGAGAGAAGAAGAGAAGAATGATGGCTATGTATCTGAGGCGAGCAATGGCGCACAGGAGCACGTTGCTGTTTCTTCGAAGCTCAACAATTCAATCCCGCAACTTTTCTCACATTATCTTCCATCAAAATCTCGAAACATGTCATAAGCAGAAATCATCAGCTTCTCCTGCCTTTGATTTCCTCAGAGATTCTCGTCGAGGCTTCGCCAAAGGCAAAAAATCAAGTATGTATCTTTCTTCCTCTCCCTTTTTCCTTTATTAACATATGTATCTCTTCTCTGTTTTGGTGATTGAATGTATGGTTTTGTCTTGGATTTATGAAATGCAGCTCGCTCTGTGATCTTTTTGAAATGCTAATTTTTTTGTCTTTCTGTGCAAAATGTTGATGTGCCGTGCAAATGTCAATGGGGTCTTCTCTAGCTTTGTAGAGAAACAGAAAATTGTGACATGGTTTTGGTTTAGCAGTAATATCACAAATTTGGGCATTATTTATTAGAGTTATTGCTCTGAATTGTAAAAGATATGATTGCCTATGAGCTGATTTCTTTTCATTTGCATTCTTAGAGGATGACTCTGGTGGGGGTACAGTTGAGGTTGTCCCAGATATTGGACCTAGTGTTAAGGCAAGTTGTTCTTCACAGATGGATGCTGCAATAGTGGCATTATCACGGGAATTGATGAAACTGAGAACGGGAAGGGCATCTGTAGGTTTGTTTTTGATGGACCAGAGTTATGTTATTCTATTTGTTATGAGTTGTGGTGCCTTAAAACATTGACAATTGCATCTATAATGTGTTTCACAGGAATGCTTGACCACATTATGGTAGAAACTGGGGGTACGAAGATGCAATTGAATCACTTAGCCGTTGTTTCAGTCATCGATTCAAAAACCTTATCAATTAATCCTTATGATCCAAATGTAATCAACTCAACCTCATCTATTCATGTGTTTCTTTTTTTTTTTAATGAAAAACTACTGTTTTTGCCAAACCAAATCACATTCTAAACAAAGAGATTGTAATTGGCAGGCAATTAAAGAGCTGGAGAAAGCCATTGTTTCATCTCCACTGGGGTTAAATCCTAAGGTGGATGGAGATCGATTAATTGCAGCTATTCCACCGTAAGTACTTCTGTTTAAAGTTATTTAGTGTGAGAAGTCGGCTGTTTAATAGATCACTTAAGTAGGTGTTTGATTGATACACTTTTTTCTATGTTTTGAATGTACAGATTAACTAAAGAACATGTACAGGTGAGCTTACAACTTTACATTTTCATTTCTACCCTGTGATCACCATATATTCTCCCATAACAGGACATTTTTCTCATCAGGCTATGTGTAAGGTGGTTTCCAAGTCTTGTGAAGATGTTAAACAAAGTATTAGAAGAGCTCGACAGAAGGTATTAAGTAATAAATTATAGTTTTGGATCATATGGCAATTGTTGTATTTCTTGCCCTATATCTATACATTAACATTATATTATCAACATTCAAATATTCAATGTATAACCAGCATTCTGACCAAAATGGCACTTAAGCATGTTGCATCTTACAACTACAGCATGATGCATAAATGTTAAAGATACTGCATTTACAAGGAAGGTGTCATAATTCTCAATTGATTTCTGGAACATGAAATGTCCTGTTGTTTTTTCCTAAGTAGACAGACTTGTCTTTTGCAGGCATTGGACACAATAAAGAAAGCAAGTTTGCCGAAGGATGATGCAAAGAGATTGGAGAAAGAAGTGAGTTTTTACCTTGTTAGTTAATCTCCATTTAAGAAATTCTCCCGAGTGTTTCACTTGTCTTACTATTTCTAATGTCAATCTTCCTCCAGATCGATGAGTTAGCTAAGAAGTTTGTCAAGTCAGCAGAGGACATGTGCAAGGCAAAGGAGAAAGAGTTCACCGAAGGCTGAGTCAGCTGATTGAACCTTCACACATCGATCTCACTTGAGTTTAAATTTGTTTTTAACCGATTAGCTTGTGGTAACATTCAGTTAGAATGCGGGTTTTGGTATGAACATTAGCCACATTAGCCTGCTATTACGGCTAATTGAAATTTTCTTAGGTAAATAAACATTGCTAGATTTTCTTTAGACAGGATAGCATTTACATCTAGGCGAGATCAAAATCTTTACAAGCATTTGTTCAAACTACTTCAAGATGAAGTACTTCGAATATCCTATATTCGTCCTAAAGAGAGCCTCAAATGTGGGCATCACTTTTATCTCTGGTTACCAAATATAGCTTCTCTGGTTATAAGCTTTATGCCTCTGACCCATAGCTTGGCTGTTTCTAGCCCACCTTCACATACAAAATGTATCTCCTTGTTTACGGTGGTGACAACCTGGAATAACCCAGGTTCGTTAGCATCACCCCTATGCTGCCTGTTCCTCGCAAACATCGGGCTTGGTCCAACCCTTGCCTCCCGGCATATCACATTTCGCTGACTCGACTTTCCCCATTGCAGCACACCTGTAGACTCGACCATTTTAATGAGTTTACGATGCGGACGTCCTTTTCCACCCTTTGTGTGCTTCATTACATGGCCACCTGCGAGAACCAACTTCCGAGCAAGTACGTCCAGGAGAACGCATTCTGCATCATTTTTCCCAGTAACATTCTTACTGTTCTTTGCAAGTGAGAGAGCAGTTTCACCTTTGGCATTTTTTATCTCGTAATTGGCTCCGTGTGAGATCAAGAGCTCACACATGGAACCATGGCCTTCCCTTGCTGCTAACATAAGTGGAGTGTAGCCATCACCATCGGAGACATTTACATCATAGCCTTTCCTTGTCAACAATTTTACTGCATCCAAGTCACCTCGTCGAGCAGCACAATGTAATGCATGGAATCCTCCAGCATTACGAGTGCCCTTTTCAATTGCAAATTCAAGTAACACCTTCTCAAACAGCTCACGGTTCTGGTTCAGTTCAGACAGGGTGAGGGCATTCTCCCCGGATTTATTAAGTAGCTTAACATCAGCCCCTGCGTAAACCAGTATACGGAACGATTCAACATGACCCTTTAAGGCAGCAATCATGACTGCCGAGAAACCATTTTCATCCTGATAATCAAGATTCATTCCTGCCAACCCAATGAGAGCTTTCAGAGCCTCAATATCACCAGCTTGAGCTACAAACATTAGTGGAGAGAAAACTGATGCATTGCTAGATTGGGGAATCTTTCCAACCTTGATTGATTCCAGCACTGCTTGCTGAAATCCAAGGCACCACCGATTTGTTCTAGCGATTGAGCTTATAGACTGACCATCAATATTAACTAGGCCAAAGTCAGCACCAGCTTTGGCCAAGCCACTCAAACATTCTCCATGCTTATATCTTGCACAGATCATCAAAGCTGTGTCTCCGGAATCCGTACTGGCGTTTAGATCACAACCAGAATTAATTAGGGATTGAAGAACTGCTGGTAAATTAAGACGAGCAGCAATGTGTACAGCACGAAACTCAGTTTTGCTGGCCGTTTTAACTGGGCATTCTACATTGGCACCACAATTTAAAAGCACGTTGACAGCACCTGCATTACCACAGAGGATTGCATGGTGCAGGAGGGTTCTTCCACAATGAGGAATGTCAAGGGAGATGTGCCGGAGAAGCATTCGTAAGGTGACACCACTATCTTCAAAATATTCCACAGCACACCATGTGATGGCATAGGGCTCAGCCAGTCCAGCACCCACTCGAAACTCTTCACCCGTAGTCACATCCCATGACCATGCTCCTAGTCGTACTGTTATGTCAGTGGGGACACCAGCCTAAGGATTTAGGAGCAAAAAAATTACCAGTCAAGTTGTATGAAATTAACAGAAAAGGATAGCCCAATGATCTTGGTTATTACTTTGCATAAAAGTCCACATTGATTTATTGAGTACATTAGTCACTTATACAAGGTATTGGAACACAAACACAGACTAGAAGATTACAAAATCACCTGTAGTAGCAGGCGAACCACAGAAACCTGCCTACTAACCACGGCTGCAACAAGTGCAGTACAATCCACATTTGTGTGCAATGAAGGTCTAGACGACTGCAGCAACTGCCTGTCAGTTGCACTTGCATCAACTCCACACTGTTATCAAGCAAGAAGCACTACACGCTTAGCTTAAAAATAGGCTACAAAAATAAGTATTAAAATAAAAATGAAAAGAATTGTCCTGGAGTAATATAATTTGGTTTATCATCTTTAGAATGAAATAAATATTTAGTAAATCTATGGAGATTCCTATTCTGTTGGGAAACTAACTCCAAGACTGATGGGCGTCACAAAGACAGTTGTTAAATCAGCAAAAAAAAGGGCAAAAATGAAACTGGTACCAAACTCAACTTAGTAATAGACCTCACAGGGTATGGAAAGTTGCAGGCAGCTTGGGGCCTTGAATATATTTTATCATTCCAAAAGCTAAAGATGGTTAAACTTTCATGTTTGTTTGGTAAAATAATCTTCACTCGCAAAACTGCTCCTAAACAGCACATTCAATTTTGTGGGTACGATGGTTATACCTTCATTAGAGTGTCCACAACATCCACAAACCCTCTGCAACATGCTGTAACAAGAGCATGAATGGCAACATGGGGCCGGATTAAATCAGATCCCAGGAGAAGTTCTGCATGCCTTGCCCACCCATGGCAGCTTGCCTCCAACAAAGCTTCCTCACAAGCATGCTGAGAAGCCCCAGCCTTAAGCAAGATCTCCAGAATATCAAGGTGGCCCTCCCTCACCGCTACTGTTGTAGCAAATCCCTTGAAGAGTTTCTGATTCACATCAGCTCCTACACTCTATCATTTGAAAATAATGAAAACCTTTAGCAAATCACAGACATTAAATTTCTAGAAGATAAAATGCTCAAAAAACATAAATGTTATCACAGTAACCCTATTAAATTTTTTGTTGAGTACGTAAGAACATGGCCACAACAGACAAAAGTAGGGTACAAAACTGATGTCACAAATCACAAACAAAGAAGCATGGAACTTGCATCGAGGAGTGCACGGCTTTAATTTAGAAGGGGAAGGAATGTGTCCTGTATGCAAGCTGTTTTGTACTTCGAAGTCCAGCTAATCATCAGTGACAACTCAGAATGGGGCTTGCAGTTGCAGAGCATAATTCTATAGAATAAACGTGGGCCTGGAACAATTATTTTTCTTGATTATATTTGCATGCCATGCATTTCCTAGGTACTTGACACTACAAAATTTCCCATATATATACATATATATAAGACACTACAAAAATTCAAATGGCAAGCACAGGATCTAGCAAACAAGATTAGAAACTATATTCACATCTTAAGAGTAATAATTTTTATTCCCTGAGGTCAATTTGAAGGTATGTAAAATTAAATTTTCAATCATACCAGCTACTAGAGCATTCAAAACAAACAAATTCACAAATTAGGATACTAATAAATACTCTTCTAAATTGTTTGGAGAAAAGACCGAATCATATATGACTTTGATTTGGGTTAAAATCAGAGATCCAAATCTCTATATCATCCAAGCAATTAACTTATAATGTGCTAAAAATAAGAAAGATATGATGTTATCAGTCATCATTGGTATATGTTACATCAATAAATTGGGTTGGACAAGAAAATATACCAAATATTAATCAGAGGTACTATTCCGAGTACTTATTTCATAAATCCATAAGTAGGGATTAAATGGAAAATATACTGCAAAATTAATAAAGTATTCCAGCAATGAAAGGCTTAACCAGATCCAGGCGATTAAATAGCCGCGATATTAGCAAATCTCACTAGTAAGGCAGAGCAAATTTAAAAGTGCATTAGTTTGAAATTCAAAAAAACATTGCCGTGGTTAAAGAGGGAAAAGGATTCTTAAAGTAATTTCAGTATTCTGAAAAACTGGAGTTTGACTGCTAATTGGAAGAATTGAAATTTAATTTTAAAGTCATAGCTGAAATTCCACTTTCTTACCTGCTGCAGTCCTTTTCACGACAGGAAAAACAGAGTAGAAAAGTGAGTGGGTGGAAAGATTTGAATTGAGATAGCGATGTAACAGATACACTCTGTCAAACTTGAAATTTACTAAACAAACAACTTCAAAAATGAATCACTAAATCCGGATTTATAAAGCAGGAAGAACAATTTATGAAAAACTCCTCAGTTTCGGAACACCTTCAAATCTCATGAAGATGAACATTGAAGCTACAATCAGCTGAAATAAAAACTTCCACCAACGGAAGCGCTTCAAATTTCAGCATATATGTAAGAAAATGCTTTTAAATGTTTTAAAATGAGTGAATGAAACAGTTCGAAATATGAAATCAAGTAAAAACAAAGTTGATATTCCAACTTCAAACGCCAGAATGCATGGAATTGAAGATATAAAAACCTTCAAAACAGCAAGAAAACCAGTCGCTAGAAAAATCGCAGAGAAAATGAAACAGTTCAAATCTCAAATCTGAAAACCGATCAAGGAGATCGAATCAGAAGCTCAATCGAGAGGAGAAGTTGAAAATGTTTTGTGGCATTACCAAAAGCTGCTTCACAAGAGCCACACTTCCGACGTGTACAGCGAGGAACAGCGCAGTGACGTCGGTTTTAAACTCCTCGTACTCCACGCGGACCTCGCTTGCCGATTCATCCCGCAAAACGACCTCCGTCTTCCTCGTTTTCAACGAAACGGCACCAACGAAGTTCACGTCCACGAGCGGATCGGCAATGCATTCCAAAGCGGATCTAAGATCACCGGCAAGGACTGCTTCCAGGAGGCGCTGCGAGACCTCCGCCTCGTAGTCGACAGGGACCACCTGCCTGCCAGAGAACACCGTCATCGGAAACGTGGCGCGTGCCGTCCGAACCTCGGTGCACAAAAATGTCGCTGCAACCTCAGGCGAGAGATCGCATGCGAGAAATGAACGCAAGGCTCGAGGGAGAAGCGAAGAAAAGTTGAAACAAGTGAGCGCCAGATACGAATTGAGGAGGAGGAGGAGGGGGTTGGCGCAAATTTATTAGGACGGGTTTTAACTTTTTAACAGCGAGGTAAAAGAAATTGAAAATGATTTTTTTATTAATTTTTAAATATCTAATAATTATATTAAATCAGATTAATTTAAAATTAATTCTTATAAAATATATAAAAAATATTTTAATATTTATTTTTTCATTTATAACACTTAAATTTAAAATTTTATTTAAAAAATTCAAACTTTTTTCACCCCTCCCAATAAATGATTGGTGTTGAAACTTGAAAATAGTTTTGGATTTTGGAAATGATTTTGTATTTTGTTCGAGACTTCGAGGGAGCGAGGAAGGGGAATTAAATGCGTGTGGGTCCCTTGTTTGTTTTTTTTTTACCGTGGAGAGTCTTTTACACGGAAGTTGTAGCTTGGCTCGATCGGCTCCGCTCCGATTCGGCTTGATTCGCGGAGGTAATATTCGGCAACAGTACTCCCTTCGGGATTTTGAATCTGTCCGCCAAATCCAAAATGGGAAAATATCTATAAAATAAAAACATTTTGTATTTTAGAGGCACATCAACCTTTAGAATTATTCAATTATTTATATAATTTGGGGCAGATGTTTATCATCAATATATCTAAAATATTATGAGAAAAACATCTTAACATTAAGTTATTTTAATAAATTTTTGTTTAAAAAATTAAAATAACTTATGTATAAAGTAGAGATGAGATTTTTAAATTTTTTTATGATATTGTGTTAAAATAATATAATTTTTTAAAAATATTTTTCCTCATAATATCTTAAACTATCAACTTCTAAACACTAATCTCGTATAATTCATACTTTATAGTACTTACCA